CATCGATCCAACTCGCTCGCTTACCGCGGCAGGCCCGAGAATCTCAAGCGAACTGCACAGCAGGCGAGGGTATTTTTTTCCGCCGAAAAAGGACCCCCTCAAAGTGGTCGAATCCAAGATTCTAGGGGTACCTTGCCCATTCTTTCCAGGCATCCTTCTTTCCAAAAAACCACCCAAAACCCTGGGGAAACAGAGTTTTTTTTCTTTTTTAAGAACGATGGTCGAAAAGAATGGGGAATCAACCCCTAGAAAGTTGGGGCTTCGAAAAGAGACCCATGCGGCTTGAACTACTTAGTCCCCCAGTAGTGCCCATTCTCACCCTTTTTCGGGGGAGGGTTCTCCTACTAAAATATACTACATCAAAAATGTTGGTACCCTTATTCTAACCTCTTAAATCTGGAGGACCTGGAAATCAATATCAGTCCAGGGGAGCCATCCGGAAGCCCATGAGCCATTGACCAAACCTATCAGAACCTGGAGCGCATGGATTTTTGCCGCCCTCGCCGTTTTGAAGTCTGAGGAAGGCCTTTTGCTGCCCCCACGGCTGCAGTGACGCGGGCTGCGACAGGCTCTGCCAGCTGCAAGGGTCGAACCTCGCCTTGCAACGGCGGCGTAGCTTCGAGACGAAAAGGGGTTCATAGCCCAGGTCTTGGCCTTTATGTGGGTCTTTGATGGTCTTTGCGTTGTTTGGTGTCGCAGTCCCTCCAGGTGGGTTGAGTGTGTAGCTTCGAAGGTTGCAATGGACGCCACCCGAAGCTCCCAAATGGTCATCTCGGGATTCTTGCCTGGGTGGCCGGAGGAGGCATTCCAACATCCCCCAACCTGAAGCGGTTGAACTCGATGTTTTTGTTGCAGGGTGTGTTTTGATCTGGCCAATTCAATATCATCAAACAAGCCCCCCTGGTTGAATCAACGACCATTGAGTCACTCACGTGAGTTTGCAGATCTGCGGATCACAATGGCCGAACTGGTTCCCGTAGAATCTTAGCGTTCGATATCAACACACGCTGGAATGCTTCTTGTATCGCCATCCACTTCGGAGACGCCCAACAAAAAGCGGCCCTTGCTAATGTAAAGAGTCGGATAGTGCAGACCACTGCCATTGGGACCATTGGGAAGATGTGGGATGAGCAGGAAGAAGGTTTCTTTCCCAGTCCCGGCTTGTTGGCTCTCCTTAAAATGAACGCAGACAGCGTCAAACGAAACCGAGAGAAAACGAGGAGACCAACCAACAATCCTTCAACGGCTGCCCACGCGCCAACTAGATTTTGCTATCCCCATCTTGTAACTTGTCTTGATCTCAAAAGGTGTCCGCCTTTCCAGCGGGAAATACATCCTTTCGCGGTAGTGACTGTGATGCGCGCCCCGTGCAAATATGTTCGGGTGAATCCTGCGTCCAGCTATTTCTGTTAGGATTGAGATCCATTGCCATGATCCAGGACCCCCCAATGCTTGGCACATAACCCCAAAACAGCAACAGCCATTGGGAGGTCATTCCACAGACCATTTGCCAGCCATTGGGGGGTGGATTGTCCCTTGCCATCCCTTGCCGTTGGGTGCGGGTGCTCTGAAAAACCGATGTTTCGTTGCCAAGGACCTCCACCTGCCGCGAGTGGATTCAGCGCACCTTCGCCCAGGCGGGAGTTGGTTCGCCGGAAAGAACGAAGCAGAGGCAAGGCCCCGATGGATCTTCTAATAGGACAAGCACAGGATAAGCCCCCAACTCGCCGATGTGGGGTCTTCTTTTTGTTGAAGCTCCAGGAAAGCCTATGGAGGCGGAGGGTTATGTTTGGATAGGATAAGTATAGGATAAGTTCCCAATGTGGGCCAGTCACCCAATTGACACATGCGGTCTATGTTGAAAGGGGGCCTGGCTTTTGAAAAGATGGCCCCAACCAAACCAACGAGAAATTGAAACATTCCAAGCTGCCGCCCCCATTTTTTTGGGGGGGGGTTTTTGCTTTTCGGACCAGAAAAAACAACCCACAGGGTGTGAGAAGGTCAGGGTTGGTTCAAGAGGTTTCCATGGCTTTGAATTTCGAGAACCGTTTCTTCCCCTGGCCGGAACAGGACGGTCAATGTCAAGGGCTGAGGGCTAAGCTCCTCCTTTTGCATTGGCCATAGATGGTGTTGAGGCAGAACTTGTCTGATCCAATGTTCGTAGGTGTCAAGTGTCACCCAAGCATTATACCATGGGAAATCCACTCGAACCCCAATGCGATGCCGCGATGAAGAAACAAGTGATCAGGATGAGATGCATCAAGGACATGGGCTTTTCTGCGACCTGACCCGTTTCCAGAACAATCGAATTTGTGTTCGCGCGTTTCCATGTGTATAAGTGTCAATGAGATTCTGCTAAATTGACCATTGCATCAAATTGACTGACCATGGGAAACGGATATCAAGCTGTATGACCGGACACAACGGCGTCGCTTTTTGCTTGGAGTGTTTAGCTTTCAAAGCATCCAGTGCCATTTGAAGGCCTAGCCACAAATTCTGGGACCAGTCCCAAAGCTTATGTGCAACTGGACTCGCCGGGCCGGGGCATCCGGGCGTCTCTCCGGGCGGTTTTGGGTGGTGTTTGACCTCCGTGGTCCGGATTCAGCGGCGGGGAACTTTGGTCCAGATGTGTTTGGCGCGGAGTATAGGGCTCCTGAAAAGAAATTCGAATTTTGCCTTTCCATTTGTCTTATCTGAAATAGAGGGAAACAACCACCATTTACAAGTTGCAATGTTGAGGTGTAGAATGTAAGGATCCCTGTAGCAGTTTTGTCAGCCCACGTTAGACAGAGGCTGACACTGGCACCTCGACCTTTGGGGCTGTCCGACTTATCCATTGCCCGGATTCGTCCTTGCCCAGCTGTGCAGGGTGGCTCTAGTTGCCGCCGACCCAGTGTCAAAAGGTTGAATGGAAGCTACATTAATGTACTGGATGGACAGAGCCCCCTTCCTTGAATCAATGCGCGTTCAGCGTTGGCTGAGTAGTAGCACAAGTCAGGCAGCGGCCTTTGAAGCATATGGGACAGCCATGACCGATTCACTAAATCCGCCTCTAGCACGGACAACATTAGTTGGTTTCGTTTTTGATGACCTCATGCTTCGCCGATGGCAGCAGGTATTCTTATTATGTGCTTCTCGCAGAAATATTGTCGGGCATTCCTTCAGGTTGATTCTTGCTTAGCCGGGCTAGTGGCCGGCATAAATTGAGGCTGACGCCGATCTTCCCGATGTGTCCACAGAAAGACGTGGCTGTGGGTCAAAACCAACGGTACCATTTTGGGGTAGGTGCACCACTCATTTTGGCCTATTTCAGTGTGGATTGGGATGTTCACTGGGGGTACGATTTGGCTTTTGACCCATGGCAGTGTCGTCCTAAAATCGGCTCGCGCCGCGAGCAAACCGCGAGCAACGCAGGTGGGCAGCTGCGCGGCTGCTCACAAGGAAGTGCTTGACCAATGTGCGGAGTGCAGCCAGTGCCCTGCGGCGGGGGGGCTGTGCTACCAGGTGAAGGACGCGTCAGCCATGGTCTCGTGTAAAGCTTGGTGAAGCAACACTGAAGAAAAGAGAGAGGTGGAAGAACGCTGTGGTTTAAGCATGTTGATGAGAAGGGTTGGCTCAGCCCGCGCTTGCTTTGGGTTTGAACAAAGCCTCAGTCGTGTTTGTTTCTTCCTTGCGGGGTCTCATGGTCACCCGGAGCGGTCTGGTGGCCGAGGAGGAGGCCGAGAAAAGTGACGAGCAGGAGGCAGAGGCGAAGCACGAGGCGAAGTTAAAGGCCCAGGAGGAGGCGGCGGAGGCGAAACGAAACTTTGGTGCATTTTGCCAAGGGATGATAGGACTTTAGCTTTTGCCAACTTTTAGGGGTTTTCCGAATTGAACCACAAAAGGTTAAACTTTTAGCAGGGGAGCAGAAAGCAACCGAGGAATGGCCGAGGAGGCCAAACGCAAAGAGAACGCCAAGCGCAGGGCCGAGGAGGCAGCAGAGGCCAAGCGCAAGGCAGAGGAGGCGGAGGCCAAGCGCAAGGCGGAGGAGGCAGAGGCCAAGCGAAAGGCGGAGGCGGAGGCCGAAAGAAAGGCCGAAGCGGCCAAAAAGACGGAAAGGAAGGAGTTTGAAGCATGGACGCACAACCGTGATCAGCTACCATGTGACAAAGGCAAAGATGGGTTCATGTGGAGCTTTGAACCTGCGAATGGGGGACCACTCTGGAGGCCGCTCGGATTGGCCAGGCAAGGATCCAAGGCTGTATCGTTTTGTTCCAATGGCTTCCACTTATCCTTTCAAAAAATCAAATGGTTCTTTCTGGCGGTTAGGGAGCCCAAAATGAGACACTCCTTTTTGGAGCCACTGGGCCTCGCAACGGTTCCGAAGGGGCTTCAAGATGCCAAAAGGAAACTGCACCGTGGCCATGAAGTTGAACAGCGTTCCCACCTGAAACCGGCAAGTCAGAAAGTGCTTGGTAGGAGTCTGCACACACACGCATGCACGCGTGGGCATGCGCATGCACGTGTTTGCATGCAGTTTCTTGGTGAGGAACACACCCCAAGTTGGATGACGGAACCTAAATCCACCATGCATGTTTGACGCCAAGCCCACCAAGCAAGGATAACCCTGAATTTTGTTGGGTTCCTTTGCATGTTTCTTTATCTTTGACTCGTGATGGGCCTCTTGCATGGGTGTTCGCTCTGAGGCAGCATCCGATCTCTGACCCTCTTCACACAGCAGCTGGACGTGGCTTCATGTGGCAGAAAGAGGGAAACACCTGGAAGCAGGTGGGATGTGCTTGACATGTTTGGATGCGCGTTCTCAAGGACCATCCTGTGGAAGCGTCTGAAAGGAGTACAAGAATACTTGCCAAGGGACAATCATTGTCTGGAACTGCGAGTTGAAAAGATGCATTTCATCAAACCCGTTTTCTGGATGATTGATCCAACATGGAAATGGGGGATCCATTTGTTCCAGCCTTTTCCTTTTCCGGCAGCCAACTGAGCAGCTCTAAAAACCCCCCGTTACATGCCAAGCAAGAGTTGTGTCATAACAAGGCCCCGCGTAAGCAAACGCCTGCACGGTGCAAGCAGGCGTAAGCACTTTTTGGGGAAGCATGTTGCGTAAGCACCTGCGTAAGCTCTTCTTCGTGATTGCTTGGTAAGCTTTGTAAGCATGCTCGGAAGAGTTGTCCCACATGTGCTTATGCGTTTTTTGGTGGCTTGTGCTGTTGCAACCTAGTCGAGCTTGGCAACTTGCCCGGAGGACTTCGGCTGCAGGAAGACGTCTAAGACCGCATGTGCGCACCATTAGAAAAAAACAACCAAAACAGCAGAACTTTGATTGGGAGCTCTTGGGGCTCATGCTAGGTGCTGTCGCAACCTCCATTACAACAAATAAAGGCTTCAGTAGCCGCTGATTTAGGAAAACTAGAGGGGCGCGGGCGCGTAAGCTCGCGTAAGCAGGCGCGTAAGGTTCGCGCAAGCTCGCCTAGCTCAGCTGCCCGCTAGCCCTTGTGATGGATGCCGCTACCGCAAAAACCTGTTTCTTGATTTGCAGCAAAAACAACAACGCCAAGCTGCTGAAGCTCGCGAGCGTAATTCTTCGTCATCTCTTCCACACAGTCATCCACATCATCTTCAACAGTTCTGGCGGCTGCACGGGAAAAGAAGCCCGCGTAAGCAATTCTTGAGGGGAAACGCTTAAAACGCCGACGCGTAAGCGATGCGTAAGCTCTACATGCTGTCTGACTGCCGCGCAAGCTAAAACATGGGTCGCGTAAGGAAAGCGCAAGCTTGCGCGTAAGCAACTTGATACGACATAGGGATTCATGGGAGGTTTATAGAGTCGCTCAACTGCCTCGATCGAGTTCCTCGAAGCAGATTCTGTTTGCCAGAGGTTCGGGACGCAGGATGTTCGCAAAGCTTTGCATTGCAATCGGAGTGCTGCTGTGATCAAGCAATCCCATTGCTAATCGTTCCCTTTGGGTGGAATCCAATAGCAGTCCTAGGGGCAAACGAAGGGTCAATCCGACGAAACCATTGTGAAGCTCGACACGGTGAGGCCATAGGATGCAAGGCTTGGGGCAAAAATATACAGATGTTCAATAGGACTTGGTGGTTCCCCACTAGGATCACATTAATATTGCCTGGAGGTGGTATCACAGGTCTAGTTGGCCGCATCCCTGGCAATACTGCGAGTGAAGGAGCGAGGAGTCAGTCCCTTCACCTCTTTCTCCACTATTCATTCCTGTTACCTCGTCTATCGGGAGAATGAATGAAGAGCTGACACATGTAATCCCAACTGCTGAGGATAGAGACCGAAGGGAGAAGGCAGTTGGGTCACCTTCCATCACATTTTCCAAATCTTAAGATGTAGGGAAAGGAAAGGTGAATGGGATTTCCTCCTCGCTTCTCTGTGTTTGCGAGGTGATAGGAAATCGTGTGTCTTTTCATTCCTTCTATATCTTCCCCCATCCAAGATTGAGAGATGGATGGGTCAAGGGAAGACAAAGAGAAGGAAATGAAAGTAGTGGCCGTCCGCTCTCAGTTCGGGAGGACATGGGATCAACCCTACTTTTCCCTGGGGAACGAAGCATGTATTGTCTGCCAGGATGGCTGGCAAATGGTTTGTGGAACGACCTCCCAATGCCATTGGGGGGTCCTGGTGTGGGATATGTTTCATCTTGCAATCATTGGTCTTTAGTCTAGTTTGACTTGGTGATGGCATGGCTGACCCCGATTTGCTGTTTCTAGGGTCGTATTGACATACCCCGAAATTACGATACGCCACCAATCCACAGCATGGTGTTTGGGGCATGTGCTATTTACCGGCCTGACTCACCCTATGCCCAATACGCATATTTGGGGGTCCGGCTTCTGATGTCTGCCTCAAAATCGGGCACCTCGCGGGACTCCTTCTTCTTACTGAGAAGCCAAAGGAGCAAACGCCAGTCTGGGTCCCCCAGTAGTGCCCTTTACCCTTTCTCGGGGGAGGGTTACCCTACTAAAATAGACTACAGAAAAAGTTGGAGCCCTTATTCTAGCCTCTCTACCGGAGGACCTAGCAGTGGATGGGACATGGGTTGATGTTTCCCAGCCGCGAGTTCAGTTCACGTCCCCTGGCACAGGTGTGTATCAACGTGGACTCCGCCGAAGCCCCGCAGGAACCGCCCGGTGCCGGTTTCATGTGGAGGCATCGGGAGGATGATCTCGGCGCCTCGTCTTAACTTGTTCTTTTGTTTTTAACATTTGTTGTTGTTGTTGTTTCTTGTTTTGTCTTAACTTGGTCTTCTACATGTTTCCTTCCAGGACCCCCCCCGTGGCTGGCGAATCACCCCAAAACAGCCCAGCCATTGGGAGGTCAATCCACCAACCACTTGCCGGCCATTGAAAAGTCCCAACTATTTTAAATTACTTGCCCAATTTCCCCTTTTTTTTGCCCCCCCACTGTGGAGCACCTGTTTTTTTCTGTTTCGTTTCGCATTTCCCCCGAAGGCCGTTTTGCCTAGCACCCCTTGACGGCTTCTGGTCCCTTGGCCCCGGCGAGCGAAACTCTTGGCGCGAGGCCGACGTGGCCCGGCGCGAGGTTCTCTAAGAAGACTTTTAGCCAGAGGATGTGTGGGTACAGCTTATAGAGATGTGGAGCGCCCAGAGGGGCCCGGAAGACACCCCTGGTGCCGTTGGGGTCTCGTTTATCCCTTGTAGCACCCAATCGATTTACCCGTTTTAAAGCGAGGACCTCATGGAGCTGGAGAAAAGAATCCTTGATGCCAAGGAATCGTTGGGTTACTGATTCTAAAGTCCATCCAATTTTGACACGCTCTTTGGTAAGCTCCGCGTTGGGAGCTCCCAACACCCTCGGTTGCTTGAAAAGGTACCTTTTCCAGTAACTCGGTTGAAAGTGGCAATGTCATCACTGCCACCCTTGCCTGATCCTTGGTCAACCTTTGACATGGATCTATGTCTACTTTTGCAAGGTGACAAATTATTTCTGCGACTGACTGTATTATATTGTTTTAAGAAGGGTAATGTGATCTCTGCAAGGGTGGGTCTCACAAACACTGCGTTTCCCCCGCCCCCTCCCCCCCCCCCACCTGGGGAACAACAGGGCTTTTTCTTTGGTGCATTTTGCTTGGATGTTGCGACTTTAACTTTTTGCCAACTAATGGGTTTTCCATTAAACCACTAGAAGTTTTAAACTTTTAGCAGGGGAGCAGACAGCAACCAAGTTTGCCGGGGTCAGTTGGACCAACGCACCAAGGGGCGATTTGGGAGCAAGTGCCGGTGAAGCTGCGCAGCGCTGGCGGTCGCGACATCCCCATGGTTTCGGCCGCTTGACCGAAGATGGCGCAGTGTCTTCTGGAAATCATGCATTGAGGCCATCCTTGGGCAGGCATTGGCACAAACACTTTAGCACGCACTTCAACAAAAACCAGGGCCACATCGCATTGAGGTGCTGAGGGGGGTTTATTTGGAAAGTGGCCACGCACCTTGGCGAAGCTGTTCCAGCCGTTTTCATCATGGTTCAAGGAGAAAACACAGACACACGACAGAGTTACTGTCTTGCAAGCTGACCTTGGGTTTTTCTTCCTTTTGGTGGCAGTGTTCCGTCAGGTTCATTCAACCATATGGGTCTTGTTTTTGGTGAGTCCCCCTTTTTCGTGGTTTAAAGCGAACCCAACAGGAATCCAACCATCTTTCGGCGTCCCCACTTAGTGACTTGTGTGGGCACATGGGCTGTGCGTAAGCCTTAGTTTGTGCTGGCCATTAGCCCGGCTAAGAAGCTACCTGAAGGACCGCCCAACAATTTTCCCGCAAAAAAAAGACAAGGATAAGACTAACTACTGCAATTGGCGAAGCATGTGTAGGATCATTAAAAACACATGTAATTAACCATGCTCTCCGTGCTTATATGATGGCACGGTGGCTAGAATGTGAATCCGTCATGATCATCATGAGGGGTTCCAAAACCAACCATCATTCAGAACACGGATCATCCAAAATCGATCATTTGTCGGTCATCAAAACCAACTTTGTTTGGAGAGCACAGCGCCAGGGGCGCCGTTTCTGGCTCTTTTTTTTGGGGGGGGGGTGTCCCCTCAAAAAGATTGAAGCTTCCCACGTCTACAGGCGGGCGAAGGCTTCATGTGGCAGAGCTCCGGCGCCGGCTGGGAACAGGCCGGCCACATCTTTGGGTCCGTTTTTCTCAGAGCTGGTGCCCGTGTTTTTGGGAGTAGAGAAAAACAAAGCGAAGACCCACCAGTTCTTTGTCTTCTTTTTTTTGGGGGGGGGTTGGAGTGTTAAAAAGCGACCAAAATGGCCATGGGTCAAAATCCAACCCCCAGTGAGCATCCCAATCCAACCACTGAAATAGGTTCTAAAATGGGTGGTGCACCTACCCCAAAATGGGATCCCATTGGTTTTAACCCAAAGCCAAATTAACACCCACGATTTTTTTTTTGGGGGGGGGTCCCAAAGAAGCACACCCCACATGAGCTTGGGTCTAATTTTTTAGCCGGTTCATGTGAGAGGGATAAATTTCCCTACCGCAAGAACACAAAGCCCGCTAAGTCTGCCATGTCCTCTTGGGGAAACAAGTCATTTTAACCGTGGCTCATATGAAGTGGGTTGATATTACTCCACCCACGTTGCCCCAGACAGGGAGCCCTTCAACAGTTGATTCATCTTCCAGCCATCGTACCTTTCACCGGTGCTTAGCGGCTAGCGGGAGGAAGGGTTTGTTTCTCATTGTTTCTCTATTGAGAACTGGTTTTGGGATAATAAGGGGTTCCCAACCACGGACCGCCAGGGTCAACAGCCCGAACTGGGGGTTTCCAGGGATGCCGTCCTAGTATCCTAGCCACTGGCTCTCAGCTCCCCTGGAAGCCAAGCTGCGCCTCCCGAGCAGGCAACCTTTCATCTGGTTTGGCTTACCCTTTTGTTGGCCTTATAGCCCTGCCCCGTGTTCCCTTCCCACACTTCGTTTGGAGTCAGTGGGAGGGTCTGTGCGTGGATCCTCAAGGAGGTCAACCAGGCGGTCAGATGACCCCGCGTTCCCAGGTGTCCAGCAAGGACACTATCGTGGATCCACTCATGGAGCGCTTGACATCGCCAGACGCTGTTGCGAGGTGCCTCAATCAGGTCGTTCTGCCATTGTGGCGTCCGGAGGTGGTTGAGCGTCGCTTTCAGGTACATGCACGTGTTCTGGTCGGAGGCATCACATGGATAGCAGGTGAAAGCTGCACACATGGCTTGATTGTCGTAAGTGCGCCGGATTGCAAGCTGCTCACCATCCTTGGCGAAGCAAGGACCAGCCTTGGGTAGTTTGTCGATGCAACTCCTCCGAGACAATAGCGGATGTGGCGCAACCGGGGTAGATGCATTTCGCAGATATGTGGCTATGCTTCAGCGTGGCTTTGAGGTTTCAAGTGCCATTGAACATGCCGCCTTGCCGTGTGACCATCACCTTCTCAGGCATGCCTCACACATCCACTAAGGCGAGTTTTTTCATTAAAAAAGATCCAGTTCCAAGTAGGATGGGGCATGGCAGCATACCTGTCCCAGCCTTTCAGTCAGGGCAATAGGGACCAGACCCTTCGCCATATTGCAGTGACCGCCATAGGCCTGGAGTGTGTAGCTCGGCAGGTGCACACCCGTGCACGAAAGCCGTCATCCAATGGCTGTGTAGCATTGCATCTCCAAGTTCTTGAGCACGGTCACGGGCACTCGTTGGCTTGCAGTTGACACAGAGGTTTTAGTGCAACAGCGTGGCAAGACGTCTTGCTGCAAGAAGACGAACAGATCCATCTGCAGCACACCGACTGTGGTGTAACCTTTTTTGGGCTTGCCCAAGCGGCTGCCGCCAAATACTTTTCTCCCCAACCTCCTCGCAGACCGTCCAGTGGCGTTCCGTTTCTTGCACAATGATGAAGTTTGGACTGCCACAGGCGGTCAGGGATCTTCACGCCTTGCCTTTGTTGGGTAATGTCGGCAGCAGCCATTCATGCCAAAATGTCGACCCCGACAATGGAGCAGAGCAGTACATTGGTCAACATGTCTTGCTGGGTCCGTTGCAGAGTGTCGACAGGGTCTTGCGCATTACTTGGAGGGCGACGGTTTACCCTGACTCCTGATATGATCGGTATGCCGAGGGGGTCATTCGCAATCTCCAGGCACAGGGATGGCGCGAGGCCATTAGTTCGCCGACCGAACTTGGACCTTGTCAAGTTTGCCCATGATCGCCTTCAGGAACGCTCCACTGAGGTTTTCCAGGTACGTTGGGTCAAGGCGAACAGAGATATCGGTTCCGCCACATGTGGCATCCAAGAGGATGAGTCTTTGCCAAGGATGGCATTTTTCCTTGGGTTCTGGTCCCGTTCCTCCTTGCTGATGTGGACTTCAACAAAGCCTCAGCTTTGGCCAATGGCCTCCTTGGATGGCATGGACACATGCCTGTCAGGGACGTCAGCCTTAGGCTTTGGCGCCAAGCCACCCACAAGCGATGGCCAATCAGAGCTCGCCAAATGGTGCAAGCCACTCTGTTTTGCCCACTCGCAGCAACATTGTTTTCGAGCGACTTCGAGGCGGGGCGCGTTGAGAGCTTCTTGTTCTGGTTTCTTCTTCTGGGGTTTCTTTCGGGCCTGTCTGGCTTTTGCTCACTGCAGAACTAGGCCTCGGCGAGTAGAGTCAGGCCCCTTTTGGACGGAGGGATGGCCGCCCTGGCCCATGTAAGTTTTGATGACGTACGGGGTATTGCAAACACGGTACGTGTTCTGTACATACACGCATGCATGCATATGCATGCATGCACACATACATACATATATACATACATAGATACATAGATACATAGATCATAGATACATACATACATACATTCATACATACATACACATACACATACACACCCACACATGCGCTTACACATACATACAAACGCATACACGCACACATACATCCTTCCTTCCTTCCTTCCTTCCTTCCTTCCTTCCTTCCTCCCTCCCTCCCTCCCTCACTCACTCACTCACTCACTCACTCACTCACTCACTCACTCACTCACTCACTCACTCACTCACTCACTCACTCACTCACTCACTCACTCACTCACTCACTCACTCACTCACTCACTCACTCACTCACTCACTCACTCACTCACTCACTCACTCACTCACTCACTCACTCACTCACTCACTCACTCACTCACTCACTCACTCACTCACTCACTCACTCACTCACTCACTCACTCACTCACTCACTCACTCACTCACTCACTCACTCACTCACTCACTCACTCACTCACTCACTCACTCACTCACTCACTCACTCACTCACTACACTCACACTACATACATACATACATACATACATACATACATACATACATACATACATACATACATACATACATACATACATACATACGTGTATACATGTATACATATATACGTACATACAGATATCATTTTTATTCGTTTGTTCAGAGCCACAGGCATGTTCTCAAGAACAACCACAAACAAACAACAATGAACAACAGTTGGGACCTTGGGCGCAGAACCGTAGGCACCCGTGCCAGCAGTTGATGTTCAGTATTTCCTTCTCCACCTGGTCGAGTAAATGAAAACATGTCCACATCTGACAATTGTCAGAAAACCTTGCTTGCAGCTGCACTGTGTATGTGAGTGAGTTGAATCTCACCAAGTGTGAACTCGTCTTGGTTAGTACGGATATCATTCCAGATGGATCGCAGGGTTGTATCTACCCATCTGGTTCTTGGTCTACCCTGGAGGACCTCCCAGTGTTTGGGAGTCCCTTTGGGAGTGTCGATTCAACTATATACATACGTTCCCTCAAGCCTGGCTGCCATAGAATGCGGCCAGCCAGCGCTTTCCTCCTGTCATTCATTTTTGTGAATTCTTTCAACGTGCTTGTTTGGAGATGACCGGAGATGACCTAGAGCGACTTGCCAGGTTCGCTCTCCGTTTGTTTTTGCTCTGTTTGCAAAGTCTCCATGCGTACAATCTTCCTGAGGCCTTTCAGATGGAATGCTTTCAATCTTGTTCCATCAGTTCGATCAAAGCGAGCCGCCACGCGAAGGGATGTATGAAGGGAAGGTTTCTCCGGTGGGTAGAGATCTTTGGAGGCACGTGGCCATAACCCGTCAATCCGTTGGGGCGGTCCACACCACATGACCAACAAAAAGGCTCCAAACCTTCAACTCATAATATGTTTTTTATTGTAGTTGAGCTACGCTTGTTGAAGGATGACCCTCAGACATACATGACCAGGAGTATTGACATTGCCTTATACTCAATAATATACAAACCGCGTGCAAAAGGCCTTGAAAAAGCACAACACATGGCCAAGGTTGGTCAAGTTGTTGAAAGGATCGGCGTTTCTTGACACCCACGCACAAATCCAACCTACGACCTAGATTCGCACTAGCCGCGCGCTAACAGGCCCGTGATGATTGAACGGAGACGATCCTTACGACCATCTTTGTTTGCATGGCTGCCAGCCAAAATTCCGAATGACATTGAGCCAAATTCAGTGCTCAGGCAATGGAGACCGAAACACGGATGGCCATTGCACCGCCAGCCACCGGCAAATTTGAACCATGTTGCTTCCATTTGCTTGAGAATATTTGTTATTTTCTCCTGTTGGTTTTAAAGGGAATCTATGACTACTGGACATATTTGTATTTGTTCAAGGGGGCTTAAGCAAATGGCAGTTATCGCGGCTCCCGTCAGGTTCCCTTGTCTCCAGAGCTTCGTCAGAAGACCCGGCCCTGCAACCCGCCCGGCCTGGGAATGCGCTGGACATGGGGCAAAGACGTGTCTCGGAAAGCCAAGGGTGGGCGCAATTCTAGGGGTGCCAAGTGGGGTGCCCCCAAAAAAGTGGTTCCCTTTTGGTTTCCCTTTAAAACCAACCAACAAACGGGTACCCCAAGAAAAGACAGACCCACATGTCTTGGTACAGCCAAATTTCTAGGGGCGCCTTCCATGTCCATTCTTTCCAGGCATCCGGATCGGTTTTTGAAAAGAACGATGGTTGAAAAGAACGGAAAAGGAATCAACCCCTAGAACAACATTTCCCCGTTGGACCAAAAGCAGATGTTTGGTTGAAAATATCTTGGTCGATCCTGCGGCCACCAAAGACGTTCGACTCATAGACACACAGGTCTCCCTTCAGGTGAGTTTCGAATTTTGGATTTGCTTTTGCTTTGGTTCTGGTCATATACCAGTGGAATTCATCTACTTTATCAAAACAAGTGGGGCCAGGGGGGCCTCGAACGTGAAATCAACAAGGACTGACTCGAGGGTTGAATCTCCGGAGACACTCACAGTTCTACTGCTGCTCTGAACCAACACCTTGTCTTGGATTTGCTGCCCTTGTTTGCTTTTTCCATTTCGACATGTTTTGCCTGCAAAAGGCTCTTGATGTTTTGATCGTTGTGGCTTCTCCAAACAAATATATTGTCTATGCAAAACACGTTAGGTGTTTGGGTCAGCATGTCCTAATTAAACTTCAGCTGGTCAAGTTGTGGATGAAATGACCTTCCACAGGAACCTCCACAGGGAACTCTTGCTTCTTGGTCAATGCTCCGTGGAATTTGTCCCCGGTAGCTTCCCTGTGTTCTGTGGATTCCACAGAAAGTTTCTTCGCTAGGGCTGGGTTGCTGGCAGGGGCGTGCCTGCCAGCTTCCCTCAAAAACAGTCACGCCGAAGTCAGACCTAACCCTTGCTCTCTCAAACCACCCAAAAAGGGCAACCCCAGCACACACACACACACACACACACACACACACACACACACACACACACACACACACACACACACACGCATACCTGGAGTTTCCATGACACTTAAAAAATGGGGTCGTTACCCAAAAAAATGGGGTCATGGACCCAGATTTCATGGAGACTCCAGGTACCCACAAGCAGAGGAACCCCCAAACAACTTTTTTTTTGAGGCATGGCGGCAGGAGCCGGTACCGAACTGGCAGCCCAACGCCCTCAACCCCTCGCCCTCGGTGCCTGCGGGCAGAGGCATTTCGGGTTTTCGCTGTTGGTCGCTTTTGGGTAGATGAGAATGAGGCAAACAAGGGGGTTGGCCATTTTTTGTTAGGGAAGCCTTTTGGGAGTTTGTTTTTTCAGGGAAACCAGAAGGAAAGCCGAAGTCGTGTTGCGGGGCCACCTGTAAGACACACCCCAATGGTCGTGAATTGGCACAGTGAAGTGGCCGAGAGTGGCTTGCGGCCTCCAATTGTGGCCAAGTGCCCCTTCTGCCAACCATAGACGCTTGAGGTCTGCTAGAACCCCCCCCCCAGTACGGGAGTATTGGGATGGTTCCATGCCCAACTGCATTGCAGCCTCTATGCTTGTGGAAGTTGGGTATGTTTCATGGTGGGGTGGTTGTTAATAGACCGATCAGACCACCCTTGAGGAGAGGAACATCTTCCTATTGTGGCTCGGTGGATAATTGGTCTAGCATAGGATTGGTTTTGGGGTGGTTTAGGATCGGTGTAGGCTTGAACTGGGGGTGGTTCAAGTTTGCTTACCAAGTTGGCTTGGGGGTTGATGTACGGTTTCGGCCGGCTTATGGGATTGGATGTTGGTCTGGGGATGGCTTAGGATTGGTTTTCGGGTTGGGGGTTCAGGGTTAAGGGCTAAGTCAAGGGTATTGTTCCAGGTTGTTTTGGGTTCGCTCACTTTTTCATAGTATATAATTGATTCATATATTAATATATATATATATATATGTATACATACATATATATATATACACATATAGATGTATTTATCTAGAGATTATTCAAAAGGCCGAACCACGGTCAGATTACTTTGCCAGACAGCCGGCAATTCCGCGGTTCGTTGTCGTGTCCAGGTTTCATGTGGAGCTTCGAGCCAGGGAACGGCTGGGCGCAGATCTGCATTCCAGGCAACTCGGCCTCGATGGGAGAGGTCCTTTTTTTGGTTTCTGCGGACTTTTCTAGGTGGGAGGGTTCGGGGGAAATCAACCCCTAGAAAGATGGGGCTTCGAAAAGAGACCCATGCGGCTTGAACTACTTGGTCCCCCAGCGATTGGTGCCCCTTTACCGTTTTTTTTTGGTTGGGAGGAATCCCCGTGTCTAAAATAGACTACAGAAAAGGGGACCCTTATTCTACCTCTCTACTGGAGGACCTAGCTTTCATGGGCGTTGATCGCAAAGCACATATGTTGGGGTGTCTTTTTTGAGGGTAGTTTTCTTCCTCTGGGTTTGAAGGGAAACCAAAAGGAAAACCGTTTTTTTGAGGGGTCCCAGAAGAAAAGGCATACCCAGAATCAACCTTTGGAACCATGTTGGAAGAACCAAAGGTCAGTTACTTGGTTTTGAGCGCTGCTCAGTTTGGGCATGTGGGAGGGTCTTAGAATAGGGGACCCCCCCAAAAAAAACACCAGCAGTTGTCCTTTCGCTGGTTTTAAAATCCACCCAAAAAGGGTCCTCCAATGTTGCAGACGCATGCGTAATTAGTTTGATTGTGTTTTTGTAGTTGCGATTCAGACTTGCTTGGAATTACCCTGATATACTTGGTTTTTTTCACAATGGCGAAGGGCAGTTGCCACCAGATCCGGTGGTCTAAGTTTTCGGAGCAAATGACAAATCGGCCCCTCTCTCTTGAGGGATATGACCTAGGAAAGTGTCGCCTCGGGTTACATGCCCTGACGGTCGCTGGCTTTGGAGTGCCAGCCCGCCAGGAGTCCAGTCGATGAAGGTCCCTGTCATACCGGGTCAACGTTTTGGAGCATCTTACATTGCGCAAGCAAGCACATCTTTAGATCAACATCCGGTTGAATTCCCTAAACAAAGAATCCCTTCAATGTGAGCTTTGGATTATCCGGAGGACCAGAATCAGTCAGATAACCAGATAACCCCCCGTCCATTTCTCACTAAATAAAATGCCCTGAATTGTCCGGTCCTCTAACTTGTTTCGAAGTCAAGATTTGGGGGATGTACGCAGCCGGATCATCCGGAGATCCGGGGCCCTATCTGGTACCCCATATTTTTTATTAGTGCCCTTCTGGTGGGGATGCGGTTGCTTTCCTGGCCTTTTTCAGGTTTGTTCCTAGCGGTTCAGGCAAAAGCCTTGGGTGCCGTGAGCCGTTTATCTTATTTGGAATGCCAAGAGGCCCAGGAACAATGCATCAAAGGGTAGCCCGTGCAAGGACGGGTTGTTGTTCATGCTTCATCAATGCAGGAATCAATGCATCGGCACACCTTGGTTACTTTGAACACATGGGTTTGCCTTCCTCTTCTAACCTGAATGTGTGATATCCACCAGTTTTGCAGAGGGATCTCGAATTGGACCCTTTTCGGTTCCTGTCATATGATGTCGGTCATTCAGATGCTGTTTGCGGAGTTGTGCAAAACACGGCCCTCCGGACCCTAGCGTGCCGCCGAAATTTCACAAAGGGATGGGGGTTCCAAATTCCAAACTGGGATCTTTGTAGTTTTGCTACATTTGTCCAATCAGACAGAAGTTCCTTGGGGGCATGCGGTTGACAAGGGCTCCATTTGGCTGTGGGTCAAAATGAAACAACCAGACTGCAGATTTTAGTTCATGTTTCCATTTACCAGGGTTGAATTTTGGGGTCACCCTGTTTTGACCCGCAGCCGTTTGACCCCGAAATTCCGCGAGCAGCTCGGAGTCGGAGGCTGGTCCGGAGGCCAGTTGCCGAACATGGAAGCGGGCCTCGGCTTCATGTGGCAGCAGGCGGGAGTTAGCTCCGGTGGTTCCGGCTGGGCGGCTCGTCGTTTTTTGGTTCGTTTCAAAGAGGAAACAAAAGGAGGTCCACCTTTGGGGGTCCCTCTTTTGGTTTGTTTCAAGGGCTGAACCTCGTTTGAAAAGATTGGCCGAACTCCACGGGAATACATTGCCATTTGCCATTTGGAATGGACCAAGGGCCGCCTTGCCCCACTTACCTCTGTATGAATCGAAGCTTCATTGAATCTTCCTTGAGGTCCATGTAGTTGTTTTTGGTCGTGGATGCTCCCGCAAGACTTTTGGAAGTAATCGGAAATTGTTCGGGGGGCCACATAGCACCCACATCTGCTTCGTGAGTGAATGGATGTTGTTCCTTTTTTTTGCAACACACGTTTTGTAGGGCCAGCGCTCGAGCGTAATATGAAGGTGTGGCTAAAGAGCAACCTATGTGGACAGGCGTGTTATGGTCATCGCTGATGCACCTCACGTAGTCATGCGTGCTTGCACACCCAATTCCATGGCACCCCTCTTCCCTTTTTTTGGTGTCACTCAAACGGTTCAGCCCCGAAAAGGGTGCCAAATTCTTTTCGTCGCTAAGGTTCAGCCCGGGAAAAGGTCCCTTTTCGGGGCCCCTTTTCAGTTTGTTTTTCTTCCTCGGCCCCTTTTCAGGGGTGCTGCCTGGCGCTCTCTCGCTCGGCTCTCCGCGCTCGGCTCAGGCGGAGGGTGTGTGGCAGCAGCTGCCGGTGCCGCGGGCGCTGCATGGGGACTGCGAGCGGTCGCCGCCCTCGGCGGGCTTTGTGCCGGCAGGTGCCATCGAATCCGCTCCGATCGAAGCAGCCGAATTTTCGATCGGATGAACCCATCAGAAACGATGGGATGAACCCCCGTGGTGGGTTAAAGGGCTCTAGGGGTTGATTCCTTTTCCACAGCGCCCTAATTGCGATTTTGGTTCGCGACCTCACAATGGGGTTGGTTCGTGACCTCACCCAGGATGAACATGCCTCGCTGGGAGAGAGAACCCTTGTTTCAGGCTGGCGAACCATTATTCTAGGGGTTGATTCCTTTTCCATTCTTTTCAACCATCCTTCTTTCCAAAAACCGAATCCGTTCTCCCTGAAATTACCCCTAGAAATTTGGCTGTACCAAGACATGTGGGTCTGTCTTTTTTTGGGGTACCCGTTTGTTGGTTGGTTTTAAAGGGAAGCCAAAAGGGAACCACCTTTTTGGGGGCTTTCCCCTATTTTGGGAAACCCATGTAGGTCATGCAGGCCTTAGAAAAAGGTGCTGTGTGGTTTCAAAGCCGTGTGGCGCAGATGGGGCCGAGCTGGACGTCTCAATTGGCCGGCATGTGTTTGAAAACCACACGGTGGCCAGTGGCCTGTCAGCGCAGCACGCTCTGCAAGGCTTCTAAAACGGGGCAAGTATGCAGGATTACGGGCGCTGCTCATATATCTCTATGTATAAATTGTGTGCACTGCTTTACCCCAAACACCCCTGTTTCGGAGTGGAACCTAGTTTCGGAGAGGAACCTACCTTCGGAGAGGAACCTACGAAAGGAGGGTGTGCAACGAAATGCTTATCGTGGCGGCTTTTTGCTTTCATCCAATTGACAGTTTCCAACTGATTAGCAAAATAATTTTGAGGGAGTCAACGACCAACCCACTGTGGGCGAGTTTGCTTGCCCAAGCAAGGCTGCACGATGTGAGAAATCACTCCTTGTTTGTGATCGATAAGTCTGGCCAACAATCTGACGCTTAAACGAGCTCACCCATCAGGGTTCTTGAGCATTCCGCTATTTCCAGAGAGCAATTGCCTAGACAAGTCTTCATTTACTTTAGATTTTGGTGGATCCAAGATCCCCCTTTAGATCTTTCAGACGCGAGTTGTTCCGTGGCACCCTGGAATCCGTTTTTGTTTTGTGGGATTCCCTCAAAAGATGGTCCACCCCGAAGGGTGCCCTTCTACCATCACAAGTTACGTGAGATTGGTGATCCTGTATTGCATGAAGGGTTCGCATTCCATCTGGCAGTCCCTGTTCTTGGCAAGTCCCACCGCAATTACCTTATTCCCACCTTAATCCCACCACCCTTTTCCCCTGCCAGCCCCCCCGCCCGGTATCCACCAACTTGCGTCCAGCTTCCGTCGGTTTCATGGCGCAGTTTCCAACCAAACTGAGTCTGGTTCCCTCATCTCACTTTCTGAGTTCCATTTCGGACTGAAACAACTTATTGGGAATGCTATGTTAGTGGTCAATATCGAGTTTGGACTTTTTTGGGCCAATCCGGTCAGGAAGTGCGTTTTTTGTTTTTTGGAATTTTAATCATTGACGCTTTCTCAGAACCCTGTCAAGCTTCCATATGGAACCACCACGTCCCTTAAAAGCAACTCCAGGAGCCCCCAATGGCCCAAGTCAGGTTTTTGAGTGTTACCCTCCCTCCAATCATGGAAGTCCGGGCACTTCTCAAGGAAAGTGTCAGCCTTCCAAAACCCCACATGGTCAGCCTCCATGATTGTTGGAGAACAGGTAGTGGATGGGAGGGTACCCCTCATCCTGCAGGTTCAAGACCCGGCCACTCTACGCGGGTTTTCCCAATGGTGCATCATTTGTTCCTCACCCCCCCCAACCCAACCAACCACCCACACAATCCCCCAACCACCCACCCAGCTTCTACATCTTCGAAGAGCGGTTTTCTGCGGTCAGGTCTGGGCTTCATGTGGAAGTGCCAGCAGGCGGAGGGGGTTCGCATCTGGCGCCAAGTGCGGCGCACCACCTGGCGGGAGGATGGGCCTCACTGGCCACCAAGGGAGCCGCCCGGAGATGGCCTCATGTGGATCTACAAGGACCGAGCTGAAAATATTTTCCCTACCCTTGTTTGGTTCCCTGAGGCAAAGCATTGGAGAGTTCTGCATTTTGGAGTCAATCCCATAGAAACCAATCAGGTTCAGCGGTTCGCCAAGGTTTCAATGTGCATTTCAGGAAAACTACTGGCAGCAGCAGCCCATCGCTGGGTGGAAGTCCAGTGATGCTCCGAAGATGCCCGCGGGCGAGGGCTTGATGTGGAATCGCCAGGTCCTCAAATCGGATTCGGCTCCCGACGAGTGCCCCATGCTGGTGGCAGCTTTGCCTTGGCTCAACAAGCGGGTGCCTTTTAGGTCTTTTTAGTTGGCTTAGTGGGGGCTTCAATGTTTAACCCACCAAAAGCATTCCATTTGCTTAAGAATATGTTTATATTTTCCCTGGTTGGTTTTAAAGAAACATGTATCACTACTGGACATTTGTGTTCCAGGGTTCTTGACCAAATGGAAGATTCCGGTTGCAGCTTTTGCCTTGGCTCCACCAGCCATTCGTTCCTGGGGAGCCTTTTTGATCTTTCAGGTGGCTTAGGGGGGGGGGGGTAGATTTTTCACCCACACGTGAAACGTTTAGCAGGTCTGAGGACAGCCCAGTTGCCATGCCCCGAAAGTCCAACCGGCGATTGGCATGCATCCAGGTTCAGAACTTGCATGAACTTGCAACTAGGGGGGATTGCATACCTTAGCCGACGGACTCCCACGGAGCCAGAGTTTTTATTGTTTTCCTTTGAACAGTGGCTGTGCATGTTGTGTGTGTGTGTGTGCGGGTGTGAATGCTATGTTCCAACGAAACCGTAATTTGTCGGTGGTAGTGAACCTCATGTCCTTTGTTGGACATAACACAGGAATCATGAAAAGAAGCAAGTGGAGTTTCAGCCTGCCAGCAGCAGCTTTCATCCGGCTCCAAACGTTTTCCGACGACTTTCCTTTCTGAAACTAGAAATTGAGAGGGTCCTCATACGTCCCATGTTGCGCATGTTTATCAGCACGTGCTGTGCCAGTTTTGTTTGAGCAGTTGTTTTGTTTGTTTGGCAGCTCGAGTCACGTTGTTTGTTTTTTTCTTTTTCAACTGCAGGTGTTCAGGTAACCGGTTTGGATTGGTGGTTTGGATTTGAGCTTGGACTGGTTCTTGAGGGTAAATGGGACACGCCTCTCAAATGGTTTGAAGCTGAGGTCAGCCACTTGCTCAAAACCCGGGTAGAAGCTTCGGGACAATCCCCTTGCCAGGAGAAAAAAAAGAAAGAAAAGCTGCGCATATCCGCCTTCTTAATTCTTGAAGCATGGTGGATCGACCAATTTACTACGCGGGTTTTGATCATGACTCATATGGGTCTGTCTTTTTTTGGGGGTACCCGTTGTTGCTTGGTTTTAAAGGGGAAACCACAGTGGACCACTTTTTTTGGGGAGGGAGTTCCCCTATGTTGAGACAAACCCATATATGATGGTGGGTAGACAAATTTACTGCCTGGTTTGGATTATGACTCACCTGTTGGGAAAGGCCGCTTTTTGCCCCCGAGTCTGTTGATGTCCCGAAGAAGGCATGCTGTATCAGGAGGGATCTATTGAAGCCGAGGCGTGGTTGGTAGACCAATTTACTACCGGGTTTTGATTCTGACTCATATGAGGCACCCTCAAAACGGAATCTTTGGTGAGCAATAAACTAGGTCATGCCGCCACTAACGGCGCGGAGGAATTCACAACCCTGGCAAACGCCCAATCAGGATTTCTGGACATGAAATAACTACGGCATTGCTTCCTACAAGCAATCGCGCGTGTTGTGCTGCCATTGGTAATTCTGCGGGTATCGCCACCGCTCAGGATTCAGCCCGCCCTTCTTCTTAGCATGACACAAGGCGGCAGCCACCTCTGCACGTCTTTCCAACCTTTCAAAGTTCGCGAGGCAAGAGAACATTCTCGGCAAACT